CTTACCCCTACCTATCTCCCCACTTTACGAGTCCCCAGTGTCTGTTGTTCCCCTCTTTATGGCTGTGTATATCCAAAGTTTGGCTTTCCCTTATAAGAGAGAACATTTACTTTTCTGTTTCTGTGTAAATCTGCTTAGAATAATGGCCTCACGCTGCATCCACATTGCTGCAAATACCATCATTTCATTCTTTAGCATGACTGTATTCCATGGTGTATATGTATGCCACATTTTCTTTATCTACTCCACCATTTACAGGCACCTAGGTTGGGTCCACGTTTATGTTATTGTGAATAGTGCTGCAATAGAAATGCAGGTGTCTTTTTGGTAGAGCAATTTATGCCATTTTGAGTACATACCCAGTAGTGGGATTGCTGGGTCAAATGGTGCAACTATTTTAGGCTCTTTGAGAAATCCCCGAACTGTTCTCCACAAGGGGTAAGCTAATTTACCTTTCCAAAAATAGTGTATGACATTCCCTTCTCTCTGCAACTTCATCAACATCTGTTGTTTTTGACTTCTAACAATAGCCATTCTGACTGTTGTGAGATAGTACCTCTGTGGCTTTCATTAGCATTTCTCCGAAATTTCTCTGTGGTCAATGTAGAGAGAAAAAGTGTGTGTGCAAAGAAAAGCTATAATGCAGCTGTTGCTACATTATGCCCTGTGCATTGTTTCCGGTTCTTATTAGCTATCTATAGACTAACCTAGATTCCTGAATTCTAGATTCCTCCAATCCCACCTTCTTCCATTGAATGACTAAAAATGGGAACTGCTCTGTTCCTGAAGCCTTAAAAGATGAAACTAGATAAATTTTAAGGGACAAATCTCATGCCTGATGTATGGGTGTGGGGTAAATGCAGGACATTCCCCCACTCTCCCCACCCCTGCTGACAACTGTCTTCCAACTGGAAGGATGGCCTCTGGCCAAGGCCACCTGTGTCCAATCAAAATGCCCTTAAAGATACGCATATCTGTGAACTTAAGACAGTTTCCGAGAGAAAACATCTTTGTTTCTGCTTCTTCGCACATAATGTTATTGTTGTGTCTTGCTCCCTTTCCCACGCTGGGGGAATATAATCTCTCCCCACATTGGTTGGGGTACAGGAAGCTTTATACCAACCAATAACCATCAGTTCCCTCCCATAAGTAATAACAAGCCCATGTCTTTACCAACCTGTTCTCCAGGTGATTTCTTCAGAATAGGTAAACATCACACGAATGCCCTGTCTGATGTGGGGCTGCTGTGATTCAATGAGTCATACAAAAAATTTATGAAGCCATTCAATGCCATAACCAGAAACATTCAAACTACAAGGAGGATGAAAAGTTGATGGCTTCATGCTGTTGACTGCATCTCCCAAGATGCTGGGAAAAGACTCTTACCATTATTAATACCTACCTTTTCACAGAATAATGGTGTTGTTGAAATTTCACAATAACAGCTTCTCCAGGCAACCTGTAAGGACCTGACCTAAGAGAATCTTTAGTCTGCTTGGTGGGTAACTTTTGAAACATTGCTAATACAACTGTTGCTCACTCTGTTTTAAATGCAACACAGTCATAGGATACTAGATGATAAAGGTGCTCAATATTATCTATTGGTTAAATAAGAAAGTGTCTGCTTTTTTTGCATCTAGTGTTATTTTAATTTGCTTTTTCTTTTTAAGTCATTTTCATATCTTTAAAAAGTCATTTTCAAATCCTCCTTTGTAATCTGTTCATAAAATTATCTGCCCACATTTCTACAAAAAGTTATATAATGATATGTGCTATAGGAGTCCAGTATGTTAAAGAACCACTTTTAATTTCACATGTATAGCTCCAATAAAAAAGTGGGCAAAAGACATGAATAGACACTTCTCAAAAGAAGATATAGGGGCAGATAACAGACACATGAAAAAGTGCTCAGCCTCACTCATCATCAGAGAAATGCAAATCAAAACCACACTGAGATACCACCTAACTCCAGTAAGAATGCCCATCATTAATAAAACAAACAACAAAAGATGTTGGTAAGGATGTGGAGAAAAAGGAACACTTCTACACTACTGGTGGGAATGCAAATTAGTTCAACCTCTTTGGAAGACAGTGTGGCAATTTCTGAAAGGACTAGAAATTGACCTTCCATATGAACCAGCAATTCCCCTGTTGGAAATATACCTGGAGGAACTCAAGTCATTTATAAAAAAGATACCTGTACTCGCATATTTGTTGCAACTCTATTCACAATAGCAGAAACATGGAACCAACCATGCTGCCCATCAAAGATGTACTGGATTTTAAAAAATGTGGCACATAGACACAATGGAATATTATGCAGCCATAAAGAAGAACAAACATATGGACTTCGCAGCAACTTGGATAGATTTAGAGTTGATCATACTCAGTGATCTATGACAGAAACAAAGATCAGAGTACCATATGTTCTCTCTCATAAGCAAACCTTGAACAATTATCATCATACTATAAGAAAAGGATTGGCAGTGGTGGGAAACTGCCGGGGGGGGCGGGGGGATTGGCAGTTGAAAGAAACTGCTAGGGGAGGAAGGACACACCTCATCAACAAGGGTACCTGCATAATGAATATTTGTATACCTAATCCTGAATCGTACCCCACATGCAAGAGTCCAGCTCCAGCAGGGCCAGAGGTTCCTAGAGGTAAGACGGCGTCGGCGACTAGAGGGGAGAACGAAAGTGGACTCCTGTTCAAGGTTGAGCAGAAGTCGTTTATTGAGTGTTATCCAAGGGCTTTTATCCCCAAACTTTGCAAAGTCATCATCACAGGACACAAAAGGTAGCATGTGCCCTTCACATGAACAGGTCCAGGTGCACAAAGGACAGCCCTCACTCTCAAGCAAATGTTTTTTCATACATGAGGAAGAACAACCACAAATTGTCTTTTTGTTTCTTATGCTTGCTTAATGTCCCCCAAACAAGTTACTTATGTGCCCTTAATTGTATTACAACTACATCATCTAGAATTAACATAACTCAATGTCTAAACCTGAAACCACCATAATGAATTATTAACTTCTACTATTCTGTACTAATTCAAACAATTGCTGCTATGGTTACACTCTCCTAGCACCAGCTGGCCTAATTCAAACTTCACTGGCCCCCCTAAATCAAACTGAACTAACCACACTTCTATAATAAAATGGCTACCTAAATTTTCTTCAATCTATATAAACTATTTCCTAAAAACTATATCTATAAATTTCTAAAATTACATCAAGAGAACCTGTGACCTGCACTAAGGCTCCTCAATGTGACTCAAAGTTGAACTTAAATTGTTTAAAAGCAAAAACCATAAATCGTGGAAAATGGGAACAATAGACTCCCAAGTTTAGCTGTGTAGTTTCCAGTCTCAAAGTTTTCTGCTAGAGCCAGCAGGAGCCTTTCCTGGTTGCAGTGCCAAGTGGAAAAGGAGGGAGGGAATGGGGCCAACAGTTCCTGAACACATCCTCATGGTCTCAGGGTCAAAGCCCCTTCCTGATCCCTAATGCTCAGTGGGCCTCCATGGCCGGCTCCCAACACCCATATCTCTAAAATTTAAAAAAGAATATATATTTTTAAAATTTCACATGTATATATGTGCATGTAATATATTATGCATGAACATGCACCTATGTAGACATACGTGTCTATTTGTATATGTGTATGTGTACACCTATATACATGTGTTATCTTACAAATGCATGCCAAGTATAAATGGCTTTCTCTTGGAGATGAGCTGGGAAAAGGTTGATGACTGATGTCACTTCTCATTTCACAGAATTAAAGACCAAAAGAAGGAAAAACAACGACTAGAATTTGTTGTGTATAAGATGTTCTATTGTCTAAGCTTTACAAATAACATAAGGCTAATGATCCCAGGACCATAGCATCATTGTGTTTGTTAAGTATAACAGTGACCAGGCACAGTGGCTTACACCTGTAATTCCAGCACTTTGGGAGCCTGAGGCAGGAAGACTGTTTGAGCCCAGGAGTTTGAGACCAGCCTAGGCAATATAGTGAGACCTTGTCTCTACAAAAAAAAAATTTAAAAATTAGCTGGGCATGGGGGGCGTGGGACTGTAGTCCCAGCTACTTGGGAGACTCGGGCCAAAGGATTGCCTGAGCCCAGGAGATCAAGGCTACAGTGAGCCCTGATCATGCCACTGTACTCCAGCCTGATCGACAGAATGACACCCTGACTTAAAAAAAAAGAGAGTGGCCCAAACTTTAACTGTATGGAGTCCACCTGTATATCCGGAATTATACCTCACATCTTTAAAATAAAATATATTTTTAGAAAGGAGATTTTTAAAAAGTATAAAGGCATGTGGTGGAAAGCAGAAAGATAATAGAATCTGGTGACGTTTACCAGGGATTTTGGTTTTGTTTGGAGACAGAAATATAACAACACTCAGAATGCATAATTAGCAACATAAAGGCATATATTTGTACTTGATCTAAGCTAGAAACACAAAGTAAAAGGAATATTCTGAATCTTTATCTTGCTCTCACAGTAATACAAAACAGGACATAAATTCTAACACAATGCTTGTTCCATCCTATGGTTGACTGTTTCCTTATTATCCTACAGGCTACAGCTGTTTTGGGGACATAGTTTTTCTATATTATCTCTAGAAACCTACCATAACTCTACGTGACTCTCAACCAAGCGAGTTTCTCTACCCACTTTCCCTGTGTCTCTCTCTATGCTTATCAGTATGAAGACCAGTATAGCCTCCTAGAACATTACTTTCTACTATTTCTTACTTGTAGAAATGCTCAGAAAAGAAATCTAACAATTGACCCAGCAAATAATAATCCTTTTTATCTAGATCATGTAGAGAAGATATGGCTCTGAAAAACTGTCACATACTTATCATTTTGCTCTGTTTATGGTAATAACAGATTAACAACTCAGCACTGGCTATGGGGTGGTCAAAACAAGTGTTACAGAGTACAGAGAATCACACATATGTTGGCCGTTTGATATTCATCGGATCTTGAGGAAATGGAGAGATGTGAGATGACAGGTCAGAGAAGACATCCCTCATGGAGGGGAGGAGGAAGATGATGTCCTTAATGAGGGAGAGTTCTGGGTGATAATGCAGCAGTAGCCAGATGGTCTGCCTTCCTTCAGATCGGAATGAAACAGAGCTGGAATGGGGGAGGCACATGGCCGAAGGAATTGGTAATTGGAGTGATATCAATGTCCTTTAGGTCAACCGGAGATTTCAGAGTAAAGTTCTGCAAAATGGTGGTCAGGAATAAAAACAGCTCCATGCGGGCCAGGCCCTCTCCCACACACATCCGTTTTCCTGAAAATATCAAATACAGAAGATTTGTTCCTTAAACACTATGCTGTGAACTGTCACAAAAAGCATGCAGCAACCTATTCGCAATAGCAAAAACATGGAACCAAGCACGCTGCCTATCGAAGCTGTACTAGATAAAATAATCTACACAATGTACATGTACACAATGGAATATTATGCAGCCATAAAGAAGGACAAATATATGGACTTCACAGTAACTTAGATGGGTTTAGAGTCTATCATACTAAGTGATCTATCACACAAACAAAGAACAGAGTACCATATGTTTTCCTCATAAGCGGACCTTGAACAAATATCATAATACTATAAGAAAGGTTTTGGCAATAGTGGAAAACTGTCAGGGGAAGCGGGGTGGGATTTGCAGTTGAGAGAAACTGCCAGGGGAGAGAGGGGCACACCTCATCACCAAGGGTACCTGCATAATGAACATTTGTATGCCTAATCCTGAATTGTTCCCCACATCTTTAAAATGAAAAAAAAAGGAAAAAATAAACAGCAACTACTTGATGAAGGATTGAATGCATGGAAGGAAGGAAGACAGGCTGGTTGGAAGGATGGCTGGACATGCAGAAAGACAAGGAATACAATCCACTTAATAGTTTGTTCTGTCAGGCACCCTTCATTTAACAAATATTTACTGAGTATCAGCTCTATGCTGCACACTTTGCTAAGTAGTCCAACTTTTTTTTGGAGTCGGAGTCTCACTTTGTCACCCAGGTTGGAGTGCAGTGGCATGCTCACAACCACCGCAGCCTCGACCTCCTGGGCTCAGGTGATCCTTCCGCCTCAGTAATTTTTCTTAATTTATTGTAGAGATGATATCTCACCAAGTTACCCAACCTAGTCTTGAACCCCTGGACTCAGGCAATCCTTTTGCCTCGGCTTCCCAAAGTGCTGTGTGACCTATTTCCATATTATAACTGCTCTTTTGACGCTTCAAGCTTCCATCAATCTTTTTCTAGAAACACCCTAGCATTTCTTGTCCAGTAGGCAGGAGGGAGAAGGACTGATAGGAGAGGCTCATATACTGTGTTTCCTTTTTGAACCTTTGGCCCCATATTCAGGTAAAAGCATTTTCCCCAGCATACCTTCCTTTGGAGGGGAGTTTTAGAAAACTTTATTTTGATACTCAGAAGTTCTAGATGACCTGCAACAGACCATTTACAATTTTGAGCCTCAGTTTCTATATCAGAAGAAAAAGGGGGGGAGTGCCTTTTTCTTCCTCATCATATTATTGCAAGGATTTAAGAGAACTTAAGGAAAGTACTTTGCGTTATAAAACCCAGGGAACTTTCATTGGTTTGGGGCATTTGTACCATTTACTATGTTCTTTTGACCTGATCTAAAACACAGGTCCAAACATGTCACTCCCTCACGTTAAAACTTTAAATGACTCCCTGTCTGTCCTAAGTCTAAGTGGTCTGAACTGACCTTTCACCTTCTGTTCCTCCTCTGACATTCCATATCACTCCTTCCAGTCTTCACATCCTCTCTGCTCTACTCTAGGTGTATCCACTTTCCTTCCATCTCCAACACACCATGACACTTTAAGCTTTAGCTCATGCTGTCCCCTTTGTCCAGGAAGCACTTCTCTTATGCTTCCTTCAAAACCTAGGTCCCCTGCCCTTTCCTATTCATGATCTCGGTGACCCCCAGTCAATACAATCTCGCCTTCTCTAGGTTTCCTCGTCATATTCCTGCTTCCACTGAAGCATGGCTCACCTTGAATCTTATTCTCTGCTTATTTTTCCACCCTGCTAAAATGTGAGGTCTTGGTCTTTGACACCTTTGGATGTCCAGTTCCAGACCCAAAGCAGACATCAAAAGCCATAGGAAAAAATGAAGGGAACGCCATAGCTAAAGACTTGCCACACACTTTAACTGTAGAGACTAAATATCCAAGATATATGATCATGAGTGCAGGAAGATCAAGGTGCTCTGGAACTTTTGCAGTAGTGCATCCCGCCATATTCCCAAAGATTCCCTGACCCCAAAGTTTGTTGGCAGGTTCTGACACCTTGGGTCTACAGAAGGTGTTCTGCTCCTGTGGTCCATTCCTTCTGTAAAAGTGCCCTGCCTTCTCCTCTCGTCTTGCTTCCCACCTCCAGTGAGGCAGCCCACATCTCCTTTCCTGTGGAATGTTATTTCCTATAAACAAGCAGGAAGCAGGCAGCTTCTCTCACTGAGCTCCCAGTATCCTGTGTTTTCTTCTCTCACAGCACTAATACTAGATTACAAAAATTTCTGTCTACTCGCATGCTCCTCCAACTCGGGCGTGAGCCTCTTAAAGGTCCATTCTGTGCCGTAGGATACATGTATTCCCAGAGCTCAGTCTGGGCGGTAAAGGGCACCACAGAGAAGATGCTCAAAGTTGTGGAGTTAGGTGCCCTTCTCATGGTGAGGAAGGAACAGTCACATGAGATTCATCCGCTAAGATGAGGTCTTACAATGCTCAGCAAGGTATCCAGAGGCAGAATTCAATCAATCTATACTCTAGCTTTCTCTGTGTGAAAACTGGATTCACGCCCCAAAGCCCCATGAATCTGGCCCAATGATGAAGATGTGTCAGAGGCAGGGAAATCTCATGGGTATCAGGAGTGGTGTTATTGACCAGGTACAGAGCCATTCTACCAGCTCTAAAGGAGGTGTCATGAAAGAGTCAACTGAGCCGGGTTCAGTGGCTCAGCCTGTAATCCCGCACCTTTGGGAGGCCGAGATGAGTGGATTGCCTGAGCCCACGGGTTCAAGACCCACCTGGGCAGCGAGACCTCATCTCTACAATAAATTTTTTAAAAAATCAGCCGGGTGTGGTAGCGCATGCCGGTAATTCCGGCTACTCGGAAGGCTGAGGAGGAAGGATTGCCGGAGCCCAGCAGGCGAGGCTGCGGTGGCCAGAGCGGCCACTGCACTCCAGTCTGGGCAACAGAGTGAGACTCCAACTCAAAAAAAAAAAAGAGTCAACTGATCCCAAAAGAGTTATCTTGTCCTCTGAAGTACAAATGGAAATGAATTTCTATTACCTGCTGAGAAAGGCATGAAGTAGTCACTTTTCTTAAAGTTGCCACTCTCATCCAGAAAGTGGCCAGGGTCAAATATCTCAGGGTTGGAAAACTCTTTGTTGTCATGCAGCACAGAAGTCAGCGATGTAATTATAGTAGTGCCCTGGAAATAACAGAACAGATTAACTGAGGGGTTTTTTTCTTTCTTGTTTACCCTTTTGCTTTTTAATTTTAAAGATGTGAGATATAATTCAGGATTAGATATACAAGGGGTCATCATACAGCTAAAGTTTGAGCCTCCCTTGGGTCCCCACTTTGGCTGGTTTGAGATCAAGCACCCTTATTGATGTTGTATCCCACCTCCCCCCTCCTCTTGTAGTATTCCGCTACTGTGAATCCCTTTCTTATAGTATTATGGTAAATGTTCAGGGTCCGCTTATGAGTGAGAACATGTGGTACTCAGTTCTTTGTTTCTCTGATAGATCACTGAGGATGATAGACTCTAAATCCATCCACATTGCTGCAAAGTCCATGTTTGACCTTCTTTATGGCTGCATAATATTTCATTGTGTATATATATCACATTGTTTTTTATCCAACCTAGTATCGATGGGTAACATGGTTGGTTTCATGTTTTTTGCTATTGTGAATAGTGCTGCAATAAACATACGAACGCAGGTATCTTTTTTGGTAGAATGATTTGAGTTCCTCCAGGTATATTCCCAGTAGGGGATTGCTGGGTCAAAGGCTCAAGCTACAAAAAGTCTCAGGGTACATAAAGAAGTCAAGAGGTGGAAAGAAATGACTGAAATCATGTGGTCTGATTTCTTTGATCCTGAGGTGGGGAAACTGGGGCCCTAAGAACAGTGACACTCCTCAGACAGACCCAGTAAGGAGTAGAATGAGGTTAAGGTCAGTGGCAGGGATTTTGCTGGAGTTCCCTCCAATCTCATTTGAAGTCCTGAGTATTTGGGAACTTGGGTGCGGCCCTCTGAATTCCCTCTGTTTATCACCAAGCCTGAACACTGGTGTCTATCCCTACTTGATGTTCTATTTCATCGCTTCAGTTTTCACACATTCACACGCGGATTATGCTTTAAAATGGAAGCCTCACTGGCCAAGTGCAGTGCCTCAGGACTGTAATCCCAGCACTTTAGGAGCCCAAGGCAGGAGGATCACTTGATTCAGGGCTTCAAAACCAACCTACACAAAATAGCGAGACCTCATCGCTACAAAAAAATCCAAAAAAATGAACCAGGGATTATGGCGTGTGCCCGTTGTCTCAACTACTCAGGAGGTTGAGGAAGAAGGATCACCTGAGCCCAAGAGGCCCAGACTGCAGTGAGCCATGATTATGCCACTGCAATTCCAGCCTCAGTAAATTTAATCAATCAATTTTATTAATTTTTAATTGTATTAACTAATTAATAAAATGGAAGCTTCTGTTGGCTCCTGGAGAGTCAGAAGCTTCTGTAATCTGTCCAGATGTCTTTTTTTTTTTTTTGAGTTGGAGTTTCATTCTATCACCCAGGCTGGAGTTCAGTGACATGCTCTCGGCCACCCCAGCGTCGAACTGCTGGGCTCAGACAATCCTTCCACCTCAGCCTTCCAATAGCCAGAATTACAGGCACGTGCTACCACACCCAGCTAATTTTTTATTTATTGTAGAGATGAGATCTCACCAAATTGCCCAGACTGTTCTGAACCCGCAGGCTCAGGCAATCCATTCGCCTCGGCCTCTCAAAGTGCTGGAATGACAGGCTGAGTCACCAAGCCTGGCCTCGAAGCCATTTTTTTTTTTGAGTTGGAGTCTCACTCTGTCGACCAGACTGGAGTGCAGTGGCCGCTCCTGGCCACCGCAGCCTCGACCTGCTGGGCTCCGGTGATCCTTCCACTCAGCCTTCCAAGTAGCCGGAATTACAGGCATGCGCTACCACGCCCAGCTGATTTTTTGACTTATTGTAGAGATGAGGTCTCACTGCCCAGGCGGGTCTCGAACCCGCGGGCTCAGGCAATCCACTCACCTCAGCCTCCCAAGGGCACGGGATTACAGGCTGAGCCACCGAGCCCGGCTAGAAGCCATTTCTAAATGGAAGTCTGATCCTATTGAAAATGACTTCTAGAACTATATCATCAAGTACACTAACATCTACTGAGGGATTATCATAAAAATACAATATGGTATCTGACAAAGGTCTAACATCTAGGATCTACAAGGAACTCCAACATACTGAAAGGAAAAAATCAAACAGCCTCATTAAAAAAATGGGTAACAGACATGAATAGACACTTCTCAAAAGAAGATATACAAGCTGGGCTCAGTGGCTCAGCTTGTAATCCCGCGCCTTTGGGAGGCTAAGGTTAGTGGATTGCCTGAGCCCGTGGGTTCGAGACCCACCTGGGCAGCGAGACCTCACCTCTACAATAAATCAAAATATCAGCCGGGCGTGGTAGCACATGCCTGTAATTCCGGCTACTTGGAAGGCTGAGGCGGAAGGATTGCCGGAGCCCAGCAGGTTGAGGCTGCGGTGGCCAGAAGCGGCCACTGCACTTCAGTCTGGGTGACAGAGTGAGACTCCAACTCAAAAAAAAAAAAGAACAAGAAGATATACAGGCAGCCAACAGACACATGAAAAAGTGCTCAGCCTCACTCATCATCAGAGAAATGCAAACCAAAACCACATTGAGATACCGCCTAACACCAATAAGAATTGCCATCATTGGGTAACTCATTCCAATCCCCTCCTGTGGGAGCTTTTCTGCCCTCTCAATGAATCCTGCTTTCAACAACAACAACAAAAAAGAATAGCCATCATTAATAAAATAAACAACAAAAGATGCTGGTGAGGATGCAGAGAAAAAGGAATTCTTCTACACTGCTGGTGGGAATACACACTAGTGCAGCCTCTTTGGAAAATAGTGTGACAATTTCTAAAAGAACTAGATATTGGCCTTCCATATGACCCAGAAATCTCTACTGGAAATATACCTGGAGGAACTCAAATCATTCAAGATACCTGTACATGCATGTTTATTGCAGCACTATTCACAATAGCAAAAACATGAAACCAAACAAGCTACCCATCAAAACTGAATTGGATTTTTTTTAATGTGATACATATACACAATGGGATATTATGCAGTCATACAGAAGGACAAACATATGAACTTTACAGCAACTTGGATGGATTTAGAGCCTATCATACTCGGTGATCTATCACAGAAACAAAGAACTAAGTACCACACGCTCTCACTCATACACGGACCCTGAACATTTACCATAATACTCTAAGAAAGAGATTGGCAGTAGCAGGATACTGCCAGGGTGAGAGTCAGCGGTACACAACATCAATAAGGGTATCTGATCTCAAACCAGACAAGGTGGGGACGAAAGGGAGGCCCCACCTTGTCTGGTTTGAGATCAGATACCCTTATTGATGTTGTATGATGACCACTTGTATACCTAATCCTGAATTGTACCCCACATCTTTACAATAAGATTTTTTTTAAATACAATATGTTTCTTATAATTTAAAAATGTGGGAGAACTTTTCATTACAGTCGAACCCAGCCTAACACAGAGCAGATGAAAAATTAGATCATCATTCAGGCAAGGGCCATCAATAATATTAAAATTGTTCAGTGAATCATTTGGGAAACTGACATTTGCAAAGCCTTAGAGTAGTCACTTTTTAAATTAGTTGTATATGAAAAACAAAACCCCGGCAGACATATCTCACTAAGTGTGGCCACACATGTGACGTAGTGTGTCATACATAGGATCACCCATGTAACATTCTTGCCAAAAACACATATTTGGAAACTAAATTCCAGAAAAACATTCACCAAAAAAAGCAGGCTTTGGAACCCTTTATATGCCAAGGAGGCCGGACTCTTCAAAACTATTATATATTGATGCAAAACAAAGGAAAAGAAATTTTGTTGAGGAAGGGAGACTACCAGAACAAGGTGACCAAATTAAAGGTTTGTTCCTTGAATGGACTGCAAGAAGTCCACCCAAAAAAGCTCTAAAAGATATTTTGGCAGAACTGGGAAAATACAATTAGAGGCTATTAGATAATATTATTTTATCTGTGATAATTCCCTGAGTTTAAATACCAGTATTGTTATGTAGGAGAAAGTCCTTGGTCTTTAGTATTGAAGTATTTAGATGTTAATGGGACAGACTAGATTAGATAGGTAGATAGATGCATGAGAGATAAATGCAGATAAATGTATAGATCAAAATGCAGATAGAGACTTATTTCCATGAATTATATTCATACCATGTATCCACATGCACATATCTACATATCCATTTTAGAAAGATATTATGATGTAGTTGCTGAAAATTTTATAATACTTCCAATAATGTGGGGGGGGTACTACATAGTCAAATACATTGCCATTTCTTTAGAAAAACAATAGCATACACAAAGAGCTATAAATTTAAAATATGCATTCACTTGGTTCAAGTAAAGTTTTAACCACCAAATGAAATTACACCCAACTTAGATAGTTTTTAACTACTCAGGCATTAAGAATTGCATATTTAAGAATGGAGGATTTCTAACCCTGTATAACAGGGAGAAAAAAAAAAAACTTGCATCTGCATTGTCCAAAACAGTAGCCATGCATGACTCATGGTTTTTTGTATTTAAATGTAAAGTAATTTAAAAATTAACTCTAGATGGATCAGAGACCTAAATGTAAAACCTCAAACCATAAGAACCTTAGAAAAAGGCAGGACACACCCTTATGGTAATTGGAACTGGCATCCAATTCCTGAACAAAACCCCAAAACGCATGGGCCATAAGAGATAAGATAGACAAATGGGATCTCATTAAACTGACAAGCTTCTGAAAAGCCAAAGAAACCATCAGGAGAGCAGGGAGACAGCCCACAGACTGGGAAAAAGTATTTGCCAACTCCATGTCTGACAAAGGCCTAACATCTTGGATCTACAAGGAACTCAAACGTGCTGAAAAGAAAAAAACAAACAACCCCATTACAAAGTGGGCAAAAGATATGAACAGACACTTCTCAAAAGAAGACATACGAGCGGCCAACAGACACATGAAGAAATGTTCAACCTCACTAATCATCAAGGAGATGCAAACTAAA